GCTTGGATTAGTAGATTGCATTTGCTGCGTAACAAACTCATTAGTGGGAAATTGCCCTTCTTCTACATTGTGTTGGGCATCAACGGGAATACCACTATAACCAAAAGGATCCATTATAAAAAAATAAGATGAATTTGATAGACACTAGAGAGAGAGCTTTAGAAAAATTGTGAGAGAGATTGAGAGAGATTGAGAGAACTTGAAAGAGATTGAGAGAGATTGAGAGAAATTGAGAGAGATTGAGAGGAATTGAGAGAGTTTGAGTGAGAAAAATGTGTGAGGGATGGGGGGTGTTTATAGGGAAATTTTGGGGTTAAAAAATGATTTTTTTTCAAAAAAAACGGGATAAAACGGCTAGGTTTTTGAAATTCGGGTTCGGGCAGTCGGGCAAACTCGGGCAGCTCGGGTTTTCGGGCGCAGCTCGGGTTTTCGGGTAAATTTCGGGCAAAATTAAAAAAACTAGCCGTTTTCGGGCAAATCGGGCAATTCGGGCAGATCGGACAGTTCGGGCAACTCGGGTTTTCGGGCCGAATTCGGGTAAAAATTCAAAAACCTAGCCGTTTTCGGGTATTCGGGTAATTCGGGCACCTCGGGCGGGTCGGGCAAGTCGGGCAGGCGGGCAAAATTCGGGCAAAATTCAAAAATTCGGGCTTCGGGTCGGGCAATTCGGGCACACCCAATTTTTGGTTCGGGCTTGGTCGGGAAAAATGCAAAAAATCCCGGCGGACGGCGGTATACGGTGGTTAGGCGGCGGCGGGCGAGGGGGGGGATGTCAAATCCGGGCTGCCCGAGCCCGAACCCGAATTTCTTGCTTGAACGGGCAGGAATTGGGCCGGCCCGCCCGAGCCCGAAAAAAGTCGGGCTTCGGGCGGCCCGCCGACCCGAAGTTCCAGCACTAACAATGAAGATCATTTTTCACCCTTAGAGTGTCTTTTAAAAGCAATTAACCTATGAAACTAAGAGTTATTTATCACAATTAAAAATATTCAGATATATTAAATGACTCTGACATCTATAACGAAATAAATAGAGTGACAAATGGTCTTTTACACTCAACACACACTCATGTGACTAGAATCGTAATATATATATATATATATATATATATATATATATGTGTGTGTGTGTTGTTTTCAAATGGTCCTGAATTGTAAAGATTTTCAAATTAAAGGATTAATTGTCAGAAAAAAATAATAGATATCAAATTATCAAATTTGAAAACTTCAAAGAGTCTCCGTAAAAAGCCAAAATAAAATTTAAGTTTTCGATGAAAATTAATAAACAAAATAAAATTGATGAGTTACCCTTGTAAAAAGTTGAGACTCGAAATAAATCTTCTGAAAGTTACCTAAAAAAAATTATAAGAGTTATGATTCACCTTAAAAAGATCTGAGATTCTAAATATACCTCTGATTTTTTTTTTTAAAAATAATTGTTATCTGATAAAAGATATCCTATGCATAACGTTTTGAAAGTGAAGAGAATCTTCCCTGAAAAAAATGAAGAGAATCTTACAGCATTAACTTTTTTTTTCCTGCTAACGAAGTTCAAAACGAAAGCACTAGACGATGAGCAGAAGTTTTCAGAAAACGACATGGAACGTGAAAACGACGATAAGACGAGTAAGCAGTATTGATAGTAAAACGACAATAGGACCCCAAAGTAAAAAAAATAAAAAACAAGATGACAAAATTAAGGCTTGTGTTTAGAAAAGCAACAAAAGAAAAACTATTGAATGAAACACCAACAATTAAAGGACTGATGAACATTGAAATGAAAACGA